CCATGAAGTCACTGACAAGTGAACTGAGTCATCTTGGTAGATGTAGGCTACCTGGTCGGGGTCCGCTAGACGATAGTCACCGATGGTTAGAGACCTTCTAAATTTATCTTACTGAATTTTACTCCTCGAATCATATCTTCATTCCGTAATCTTCTCCATTACTGCTAATAATTCTACTATCACTATCATTCTTGGATTTGAATTGACAGTTGCGTCACTGTGCCGATGTGGTCTGGCAACCGGAACTGATGTACTTACGTACGAAGTTCTGCGTTGTATCTGTGTGTCTGCATATTTTTTAGTGCAATATTATAGGTCTGTTTTGAACGTTTATCAACTATCTCAGAATAAGTATGGAATATTTGTGGAAATTGTAATATGGCACAAGTGGAGTTCAATACGTGTCGGGTGAGACAGTCATCTGCCACAGGCAATGTGGATTAAGAATTGCAAAAAATCATGGGTTGATAGAAGTATAACAGTAATACCACTGAATGTTGACACAATTGTCTAGAGGTTAGGCGATCTCTGGTGAGACCGATTCGTGCAGGATCCAGTTCGTCATATCTAATGTAATATCTTTAGACTGGTAGAAATTTTCGGATATTCAGTTATTCTATTTCGATCCAATTAATTGTGTTTAAAAACAATGTGTAATCTATTTTTTATCTGTTTATAGGATACTTTGTGAATCATTCTATTTCAACTAGACATGAGATTATTTAATTGACGATATGGTATAGTTCGAATGCTCATTAGATTTCATCTTGGTACAGAGTAAAAAACAACGATTCTTCTATTTTTTTAACTCATCACTTACTTATTAAAAGTTATCGCTTTCTCTGATTCAGTGTAGTCAATAAATGACAATTTCCACTTATTTCAAAAAAACTTTATGAACTGATCTGTGAGTTCGATTTGAATTACTTGAGTTACGAAATACATTAAACAGGAAACTGGGTAGTATGTTATTCTTCACTGAAACAATAGACAGATCCACAAAGTTAGACATAGATAATGAAAACACAGGTTTTCTAGATTTTCATTTTAATTTTCCCACGCGTTTCTGTCATTTTAGGGAATATATATATATATATATATATATATATATATATGCTTTGTCATTCTAACTCAATATAATGAACTGGAACTACAGGTCATATTTGTTGCATTATCCAACAGATTTGTCACGTTGAAATCCAGATGTAGGAAGTTTATGATAACTGTTGAATATTATTCATATCACTAGTCGATATAAGCTCGGAAGATACTGAAAACTAGGGAGTTCTGAGTAGCTGTTTTATGCTAGTGTAAGACTTCTCAGAAGTGCAAGTCCACGATACCGACGAAGATTGAACCTTACGTCTTTCTCGTTGTGTTACGCGTTTTAAATTTAGAAAATTCAGTTGGCATCCATTCGTCTGCAATTTTGGTGTCAGCTGATTTGAAATACTACATTACTGTATCCTACTGTAACTCCGCCAGTAGAACATTAGGGGCTACTGCCGGTCCCAAGCCTGGATAAAGGAGGAGGGTTGGACATGGGGTTGGCGACCCCATTCCGTTGAAATCTCACTTGCCAAAAAAAACGCTAACCAGAAAAATTAATTCAAACCATTTTAACTCTGCCCTGGGAGTTGGAAGAAGAATTATGACGTCTCGTGATAAAAGCCGAGTTCCCTCTGAAGGTACGGGGCCGATGCCTCTTCTGACAACCAGAGCAACCATTTTTTTAGGTACATGGAACGTTCGTACATTGTGGGAGACTGGAAGACTATTTCAAGTTGCGGCAGAAATGAAAAGATACAACCTCGAGGTGCTCGGCATCAGTGAAACACAATGGACACAGGTAGGACAACTGAGACTAGCTTCAGGGGAACTGCTGTTATACTCTGGTCATGAAGAGGAAAATGCTTCACATACACAAGGAGTTGCACTGATGCTGTACAAACATGCACAAAAGGCACTGATAGGATGGGAATCTCATGGACCCAGCATCATTAAAGCATCCTTCAAAACAAAGAAACAGGACATTACAATGAACGTCATCCAATGTTATGCACCTACCAATGACTACAATGACGACGTTAAAGATCAATTCTACGAAAGGCTGCAGTCAATCGTCGGCAGATGCTCACCAAAGGATTTGACGATTTTTATGGGAGACGTGAATGCTAAGGTTGGCACGGACAACACTGGATATGAAGACATCATGGGACGACATGGACTGGGAGAAAGGAACAAAATTGGTGAGAGATTCGCAAACCTATGTGCCTTCAACAAACTGGTCATCGGTCGCACAATATTCCCACACAAACGCATACACAAAGCTACATACACTTCACTGGACCACACTACTCAAATCCAAATTGACCATATCTGTATCAACAAAAAGTTCAGAAGGACTATGGAGGATGTGAGAACCAAGAGAGGAGCTGATATAGCTTCAGATTACCACTTGCTGGTCGCCAAAATGAAACTGAAGCTAAAGAAGCACTGGACGACGGGGCAGACGACATCACACAAGTTTAATACGGCCTTTCTTCGCGATACCGTAAATTCAAGATAGCCCGCTCCTACAGGTTCCAGGCCTTTCAGGAACTACTCAATAGAGAGGAAACAACATTGGAGAACAATTGGAAAGGGATTAAGGAGGCAATCACTTCAACATGTCATGAAGTTCTAGGTCACAAGAAGTACCATCACAAGGAATGGATCTCTGTTGGTACTCTTGAAAAAATTGAAGAGAGGTGGAACAAGAAGGCAGCAATCGATATCAGCCGAACAAGAGCATAGAAAGTTACCACACAAGCTGCATACACAGAAGCAAACACGGAAGTGAACAAGATCATTAGAGCTAACAAACGAAAATATGTGGAAGATCTTGCGATGACGGTGGAAAAGGCTGCAAGAGAAGGAAACTTGATACAATTGCACGAAACAACAACAACAACGAAATAGGTGGGTAGAGCACGGTATCAACTGGACAGTTAGGACGCAGATGGACGATCTGGACTTCGCAGATCACTTGGCTCTGCTATCGCACACGCAACAACAAATGCAAGAGAAGACGACCAGTGTAGCAGCAGCCTCTGCAGCAGTAGGTCTCAACATACATAAAGGAAAAAACGAAATTCTCCGATGCAACACAACATGCACCAACCAAATCACTCTTGATGGAGATGCCTTGGAGGACGTTAACACCTTTACATATCTGGGCAGCATGATCGACGAGAAAGGTGGATCCGATGCAGATGTGAGGGCGCGGATTGGCAAAGCGAGGGCTGCATTTCTACAGTTGAAAAATATCTGGAAATCCAAACAACTTTCAACCAACACCAAAATCAGGATTTTCAATACAAATGTGAAGACAGTTCTACTGTATGGAGCGGAAACATGGAGAACTACGAAAGCCATCATCCAGAAGATACAAGTGTTTATGAACAGTTATCTACGCAAAATACTTCGGATTCGTGGGCCAGACACGATCAGCAACAACGTACTTTGGGAGAGAACAAACCAGATTCCTTCAGTGGAGGAGGAAATCAGGAAGAAGCGGTGGAAGTGGATAGGACACACATTGCGAAAAGCACCTAACTGCGTCACGAGACAAGCCCTCACATGGAACCCTCAAGGCAAAAGGAAAAGAGGAAGGCCAAGGAACACATTACGCCGAGAAAAAGAGAAAGATATGATAGGAATGAACAAACATTAGACAGAACTCGAGAGGGAAGCCAAGGTCAGAGTTGGTTGGAGAAGACTGGTGTGCGGCCTATGCTCCAGTGGGGGTAACAGGCGTAAGTAAGTATCTCCTACTCTATTCAGTGACAGACTAACACATTCAGCATTATTTAACTCCCTGGTGCAATGACCAAGTGGTTAGGGTGTTTGACTTTCGGACACCTAGTCCCGTATTTGAGCCTTTTGATACTTACTTCATCTTAGACAACCAGGTAATACAGTTAGCTTTCACATACAGGATATGGCTCATTATTAGTAAACCCGGTAGTTGGTCAAGTAAATTTTGGTTTACTGAACTCAACTGGTAACGGTTTATGACTAAATCTATGGTAAGTTTTCAACAAAATTAAACACTAGTGAGTACATAAACCTTCTTCTATCTTTTTCTTCTAGTGTTGACGATTCATATGTATTAAACAAAATTTCGAACATTCACATTTTATTATCAACAAAAGTAGGACTTCAAACAGAAAATTGATGGCTTTATATTTATAAATCAACCTCTATTATCAAGGGCAATTTTACATTGGTTTTTAGGAGAACCCAAGGAGATTGCCAACGTGTTAGCATTTCGGCATGAACAGTTCGGCTAATTCTCATGGTGCAACCACACAGTTACCTGACACCCTGTTGGACCATTCACACCATTTATATACACCAGTATATAAATGGTGATTATTTTTTGATCCATGATCGCTTCAATCAATATGCACCGCATGAACTGGCCAATTCGATGCATCCCGTTTACATGACTTTTAAAACTCATTTTTATTAGCAATGGTGATATGTAATACAGCACCCCGACAACAGTGGCTCTCGGGATTGCTGCAAAACAACCACCAGTATCAATGAAATCGGTCACCCTACTAACCAATCTAGCATATGTACTGTTAGCAATACTTGTCAAAGTAATACCAAGCCATCCACGATGTTCAAAGCGAACCTCTAGTCTCATAGAAAACCTTGAGCTCATGTAGCAGTATAGAATATGGTATACACGTAGTATGGCATAGGATAGCAAGGGATGCAGCCCAGCTTGATTAAAATGGGCTCAAACACTCTTATCACCCTTGGTCTCATGTTGGGTAATGATTTTTTCTCAATCCCAAAATTTCATTTTTTGAACATATGAGATCTGAGTTTGAGGTCAGTATCTCTAAATTTATCGGCTACATCAAGATAAAACATATTTTTAGTATAACTTTCATTGCTTTGATGGTCGTAAACTTTTTAATGGTAAACTTTTCAAAAATAATTGATTTGATGCCTGTGAATTAGAAATGTATTTTATGCTTCAGATAAAATAGATTGATGAATCAAAAAATGTTCTACTGAATAATTATTTGTAACAGTTTAACTACTTTTAAAAACCTTTAAGTAGTCAACCAAATACCCATAAAATATCATGAGGTCACTCAGTTATTATTCATGTGTTGGCTGCATTGGTATTCTGATCAAAATAAACTTGTTTTTCACCACAAAGATTTGATCCTGCTGCGCAATCACCTTCCAAGGAAGTGTTTTCGAGAACTTTATGTGGTTCTTGTTCATTTAAAATAGATGATAAATCATGCTGTTTAGATGATGATAACATCCAAAAGTTGACATCACGCTCCAGTTTATGAGAATCATAATATGTACGCACAGTTAGATTGACTTCGTGTCCAAAGAGAGTGCTAATAAACAGAAACGATTATTTGATTACTATAATTAACTGGCCTGGTTTTTTTATAAATAATAATGGAGAAATTCGATATGGATCCTAATGTCATTTTTTAAACGTAGGAACGTGTCTAGTAAATTATTCATAATCATCCGAGGTTGTTTCGAAGCATGAAAATGACACACATCTAAGCTATGTATACATTATATATATCTACTACTCTTTAGATCTTGCAGGGGTTAAAAAAGTCATAAAATTTGATTTGGAATTCAGTAACGAAGAAGGAAGTTTCTTTAGTCGTTTGTATACTTGTTTTCGAGATCGTATTTCCTACTTTAGATGGATAATACACAATTATTTTCGAAAGTATTTCACTTGCTATAATATGACAGGCATCTTAGAAAAACCAACGGATGGCAAGAAAAAGTTGGGAGATCACGGGATGAACTGTTGTAAATACTTAGTATTTTTGATATTGTATGGATAAAGTTAATCATCCCTGCGTGTTACCTGAATATGGAAATTAACTTACTGCTTCCAGAAAAGCTAAAATTATCGGTTTATCTCCAAATGGAAAAACATTCTATTGCTTTTTAAGAATGAACTAATTCGTTTTAGTAAGGCTGCTCTCTGTTTAGAACGCCAATATCATGAGACCCAAAGAAAAGAGTGATTCAATTATCTCAACTCAGTTGAAGCATCTATAAAGGCGAACAATGTCACGAGGAAAACGGGACAATGAAAGTTGGACTATATAGTACAGTTTCAGTTTTATTTGAACTGTTGCTACTCTAAACAGAAGTGGTGGATTCTTTGAGTTAGAGTTGGAAAGCACGGGGAAAATTACAGGTAAATTAGTCGCAAACATTTAACCGACTCATTCTCTCGAGAAGAAAACTAAACGCAAAAATGTCATTTAATGAATTGATAAATCTATTTAGCAAGCAACTAGTAAAACGCAATCGACTGCTGTAGGTTCTGTCATTATGGAGTTTTTCTACTGCCAAAATCTACAACTATGCATAATTAATTGATAAAATGAGGAAAATTATCCGCCATTGTTAATTAAAAACTAATCTGTACAAAGTTCAAAAATCTTACTCACTGAACAATAAAATTGGGTTCCAAGGCTATTGCTTTATTGCTTCGAACATGTTTGATGAGCAACCTCTGATCAGACTAAAATAAAACGAAGAACAAAAAGCGAAACTTTAAGGGTTATTGACTGAAATTAAAATATAACTTTAAAAAAGATCATATCATACAACTCAAAAAATGATCATGCATAGTTTTAAAAAAAAACATATTTAAGTCTAGATACGGATATGAAGTATCAACTAACATTTAGAAAGTATTTCAATTATGCAGTAATGTTAAAACATGGTGAATAACTCATGTGGCGAATTATATATTTAGGGCTATTGCTTATCACTATTATATACTCTTCGTTAATTTATAGTGCAATAAATTTATTTTACTGCACTTAAAAGGGTTTAAATGGTACTTTTTGTTAAGTTAGTGATAAACAAGTTGCACTTTATATAGTTTCATCTGAAATGTTAAGTAGTTAGACATATTGGACAGAATACTTTGAAAATAGGTTGGAACTTTGCAGTAGGGCAAACGTGTATTGACAGTGTAAATGACTTATTGGTTTCACTGAAGAATCATGAGAAGGAGTTACCGTACATTTATTAGACATTCTTTTTAGATCTTTCAATAAAATTAGGGTCGAAACCTAAACACCCAGTGAGAGTAACCAATAAAGCGGACTGAGTATTCGTCTGCTCCTAGGAAAGCTTGAAATAAGAAAGTGGAATAATTAGTATGCTAAAATATGAACACGTTGTACGTAAAATATTACTTTTAATTTGTTGAGTCAAAAAAATTAACAGGTGACTTTTATTTAAAGTAGATGTGTTATGGTCAAATTAGAATTAAAAAAACAAGTCTAGTTAGTAAAAACCTAGTGATTTTTAAACCAGCACGTTTAGATTCTAAACTTAGACACGTTATTCACGAAGTAAATGAGTTCCTCCCCAAAAAAATCATTATTAAAACTAATGAAGGACAAAAGTTAACGAAATATTTGATAATAATAAAACAATGTCGGAGAACTTATTTTATAAAGATACGTGTTCTTTCATTATTTTTAAAATTTTTCCATCCATACAGCAAAAAATTAACTCTTACATTCACTGGTCTACCTTCAAACTCTTTACGTAGATGTGGATCTTCATATTCTAAACGCCATTGAGATAAAAATGATGGCCTCCCGATTTCAAAGTATAGACGTTGTGCATCTGGTAGCAAATCTTTATCACCAAGATGTCGCAAATCACTGGCCAAATAGAAATATTGATCCGTATCGAATTTTTTCTGCAATTCAGAATTACACCTTGATGAAATGATATCTGGTCGAATTCTAAGCAAGATAGGTTCACCATAACGAATGACTTTACCAAATTGATTCTCACGTAAACTAAACAAAACAAACCATATAATGATGTCAAATAAGGTCATATTTTCAGGTTAGCTTTTTATTTCATTTTACTGGCAAGCTTAATATCCGATTTTTTCATAAAGTATCCATCGCAAACCTTGCTCAGATTCTGAAGGTGACATGATTTGCGTAAAATATGAGGTTAGGGGTGTGAACCGTAGCGAGGTTTTGAGTGATCGTTTTATCAAAGCAGGAGTGGAGCATGAAACGTTTGTATAGTTCTATCTGATTTTTGATCTGACAGGAATATGTATTAAAAACAGTTCTAATTTTAATAAATAAGTTGTAAATCTTGCTTTAGATAGGTTTCAAGCATTCATACTTTTATTTTGTTGTGAATGATATTAAATTTGTGAAAAGAATTTAAAATTCTATTAAGCCACACTACACTCTGTATCACTAGGTGATATTTCCATACCGTTCATATATGAAGTGGTAGTTACAATAAAAACTTATCAATTCCACATTAAATTTTCATTTTCTCACAAGAACTGGTCATTCGGAATATCAAGTAGAATGATCTGTTCCATTTTGTTAAATAATTTTTTGATTCAAATTCATTCCTGTTCTTATTACGGCAGAAATTCCCTAAAATATACTAATCCAGTGTTCCTGACAGATGTAGAATGTAATGACTGTTGTTGTCATTGCTATAAGATTAGCGCAGAAGTGCTCTAAGTCACATCAAATGGCAAGCTTATGAAGTAGAAAACGTCACACATTTAGCGAATCCATTTTAGAATGTGGAGAGAGTATGCAATAAACCGTAAACTTTGGAAAAAACACAAATCAAGTCACTTTAATTGATTTGGGAAGCGTCTCTAACTTTTATTGTTAATCACGGATGATAAAGTTTGAATTTGCTGGAGTGTTTTTGGGACGGCAAACCAGAAGCAAAGGAAAAATAATGGATTTGAGCACCACATTTTCACTTACAGCTTATTCACAGCGTCTCCTTATTGTTCAGCAATATTTATTGGTTTGGGTCCAGGTAAAAAACATTAAAAAAGCCATAACAGCTTTGTACATCGTTTACATACTACAGTTTCTGTTGTCAAAATCGCAATAACTGCTCATATTGAGATCGCGATAAGGAAATTTGACAGCTTACCACATTTTGTCCTTTATTTTTTGAAGTAAAACTTCGTCTACTTACAATAATATTAAAGAATCTACTCTAGAACTTGTAAATGAGTAGCCGGATATTTTTACCTGTAGCTGAAAACAACTGAGAATACTCTCTCATACTAATATACTAATCCAAAATAGGCAATAAATTACACATCTTATATTGATGTCCGTGTATAGGATCCTAAGCTCCAAAATAGTACAATTTTTTAAATTTTGGGTATATCATGTAGCTTCCCTTTGAATGGTTTATGTACTATGAATTTAAAGAGACATCCTTCATTGAGAGTTCTGGATTCATATCGGGTATTCTACATTCCCAAATGAAAGTTTTGACAAAAAATAATTTTTTCGTTGACTAACCAGCATATTTGGAAAATATTTCTCGCGGACGGCTGTACATTGTTCGATGCAGTAATACAAAGTAAGCCATCTTTTTCTAAAGTCCTGAACAAATTGTCACCAGAGTTCGAAATCATCAAAGAAAAATTGAACATTTCTTTTATCGAAAGACCAAGAGCATAAAGCGCTCGCGGAGCGGCGAGTCCACTCTTCAAGTAAAACGGAGATGGTCCTGGATTCAGTATTTGAACATTGTAACCAGAACGTAAATGCATATCTGGAGCAAGGGGTGAGCATTCAATCTTAATTCAGTAGTATAGTCAGCTGATAAAGCCTACCATAGTAGGGATACTTTCAATGAGTAACTTGAGAAATTGTGTGGTAGATAGCTGATCCTCATTTCTAGAAAAAAGCTCAGAATTTTTCTCCTATTAACATTAAATTTATCTTGAAATCCCTTACTTTCTCTAGTATTCTTTCCTCCCACCAATTACCTAATAAAACTCTCGAATTATACGACTTCAGGACAGACATTTTAAAATTGAAACGATATCGTTTCTACGGTGAAACTGATGTTTTCAATATCCAATATCTTATTCACGCCTCATGATAAGCCAATTGTTTTCTTTGCTGCCGAATATTGTTCTTTCGTTACGAGTCTAGGTGTGCGTTGGTGTAAAATAAATAGTATTTTGTCCACTCAGCTGCACTAATTCAACTCATTTGACCGCTACTTATTAATTTGCATGTTGCGTGACAAACATGATTGCGTTTGTCTAGGAGCAGCACTGTTTCGGGATATCAGCAGCTATCAAATTACCAAACTGGAGGTCAGTTATTCGTTTTTGTGGAGAATAATAAGGAGAAGTTTTTTATTCTTTTGATAATAAAATTTCCGAACTAAGTATCCAAACAAGTTCATTAGATGATTGTAAAGATGGTGTCACAGGAAAGTGTAAACAAGGGAGAGGAAACAGAGATGATAAGCTAGCAAGTAATAACATTTATCAAGTTTCTTGAAATCCACCAGACACTACTGGTCCAGATGGGAAATAATAGTACGTCGGTGAGTTTGTGTCTATCAAGTCTCTTCTCGAAGCTGTCCACTGATTTTGCAACTGGGTCGTGTACGCTGGTTTCTCCCGTACACCCGTTACTCCTTATTTTATTACACCCTCAAGTCAGTTTATACAAAACTGTTTAGATTTCCCCAATGTTCAAATTATTTCTCCGTGTAAAGGAAACAGTGTTTTGCCAGTGATGTGTAAAGTACATTACTCGTAGCAAAAAGACCTGAAACCCTATGAACCTGAAGTTTCGATTATCAGTTCGTTTTACTCTAACGCCTGTTTTACAGCTAGTTTTTGTCCGTTGGTTTCTACGTGCTTACTAAGTCTGTTATCTGTTTTACTCAGTCATACACTATCTTCACTGTGCTGCTCTTTGCACTACGTTGTTACCATGTGCTTTCAAAAGTATCATAAATATATTAGGACCTGAAGATAATACACTGTCATAAAAGACTTAGTTCAGATGAAGAGGACTGCTCGTTTCCGAATATATGAATCTGGGTAGCGGTAGAAAGTACTTAAAATGGAGATCAAAGAATAAATGTATGGTTTCTCCTTTGAAGTCTAGATATTTCCTATAATATTTTGCCACAGTTTCGCATAAACCAATAAATTATTTTATAATTAATCCTTGATGAAAAGGTTTTCAGGACTAGCATATCATTTAGTATGAGCTTCCAAGTAATGCGTCTGTTTAAGTTTTAGTCGTCTCGGCAGGTATCTAATTGTTTCCGCGTCCTACATTATCAATAAGTGCTTATGTCTCAGGGCTCTATAGTCTCTAGAACTAACCGCTGTCACGTTGCCGGTACGATGGCCGATTCATCGCAATTTGGCAAGTTACAAGAGGGGAAGATAGGTAAACGGTGATCAAGAAAACGGGTAGGAATACGCGAACAAACGTCTGACCTTGTAGATTATAATCATATAATCTTGATAATATTCCAAACATTTGATGACATACATGTCTACAGAATATATATGAAGTATACATTTTTCACTAACATCTATATTATTCGATCATCCTGAACTCAGAACATGGATCACTAAGAAACTGTAGAGATACTTCGGAATATCTTGTACTTCAACCAAAAACGTAGTTTGAAAATACTCCTTGTTGCTTGGAATCATGGCTTTTTTATTTGATTCTCAGTCTATAAGAAGGTACAAAAGTCCTCTTGTGACAGTCACAGAAGAGTCAGTTGAGCAAATATAGTGTCTAAGAGACTGGCCTTGTTATTACTCCGACGCCTAACTTATGCTCGTGAAGAACAAACTGATAAAAACCAAGTTAGTTTTCGAGCTGGTTGTGGATGTATAGACTCGATATTTACACTACATCAGGTCGTAGAACATAGACACTCGCTCAGACCCCCCACAATAGTAGTATTTCTCGAATTTAAAGCAGCATTCGACTCTGTCGATCGTGAGGTTCTGTGGCAGTGTCTGTCATTGAAAGGTGTACCAAATAAGTACATTAGTCTTATACAAGCTCTCTACTCGAACACTACTTGTCAAGTGAGAGCTTATGGCGAACTGCTGTTGTTAGGAAAAGGGTACTAGGTAGTGATGGCAGATCAAGTGCTGAAATTCTGCATCTTTATCAGTCAGGTGGTCGGGACATATGGCAAGTATGACCAGCCATCAACTGCCTCGACGACCTATCGTTTTTAATACAGGTGTTGGCTGAGTGAATGCTTTGGGCGGCCAGACTAAAACTTGTCACACATCCATGAAGTCACTGACAGGTGGACTGAGCCATGTTGGTAGGTGTAGATCACGCGGTTGGGGTCCACGAGACGACAGTAACGGGTTGTTCGACTCCTCGAACGACGTAGCTCGAAATCATTCACACTGGCCCAGGTGCATCCACTCTTTGTCTCCTAAATTCGACACTCGATTCCTCATGATCTTTATCTTTCTCCTCTCAAATTTATTTCACTGCATTACACTCATTGAATAACATCCTGAAAACCTAATCTTCCCGATTGTCTCTCAAAGTTCTACTACGTGTATCACTATGTTACTGAAAATTTCATCTTTGTTCCAATGTGGTATGGCAAGTTGATCTAGTGTACGTTCGTACGAAGTTGTACGTTGCTGACTGTCTAACTCGGCATTTGTCCTTCTTGATTTTCCAAATTCTTCTCGACCGACAGACTATTGAGTTCGAGCTTATTTCGTGGAGCAATAAGTGATTCTGGCAGTGCTGCGATGGCCCATTTCTGCATGTTCTTAGTCTTCGTAATTAGCTCGTCCAGAAAATCGTAGCTAAATAGCGTCTGACGGTTTATAAATCAGAAGGTGAACTCGAGGTGTTGAATACGTTTATTTTGGCACACCACAAAATGGAATAGCAGACCACAAGCAGACCGGGCAGGCACACTAGCAAGTGAATGTGCGTATGAATTATTAAGATTAAAATGTTCATATATTATACGAAGAGAAATGTCGAGTCATCGAGGTATTTAAGAGATTAACATTAAAGCGAATAGGATGAATATGCGCGTAGGCATAAGCAATGCTCAGTCGTACAGCCTCAACACACCAGACAATAATAAGCGTCAACGGTGTGACGGATTTTCTACTCTTGCAGTTCGCTCCGGCTCGAAAAGTGCGGTTTCATACGCGTTTCACCCACTCCGGGACCAAACAACGATAATTCTGAGAGAAAACGTTTCTGTTAAATGATAAAAAGGGAAATACAGACAATTACCAAAAACAATATTACACCTTCGAGTTTCCAGTTACCACAATAGGTTCCGTTTCTGGAAGAATAAGTACTTTCAGTCCGTTACTGCTAGAGTATCAAATCCAAATATGGCTGTAGCCATATTAAATATCAAATTTGAACAACATATGTACAGTTCAGAAGGAAACATAAAAACTTCAATATAAGTACAAGATAGAGAAATAATAACAATATACAAATGACAAAATCTCAAAATGGAATCAAATAGAGTACCAAAATATCAACAGAAAGAGTCAGTCATATCATAACACAAATATATATACATGGAGGGATTTTCCAAAAACAAAACCTTCAAAATAGATTCTACAAATGGTACATATAAGCTTTGCTATACAAATGGCTTGGTTAAATAAATTAATCTAAAGGCTTGACCAAATTAAATGTAAGTGAATTTTAAATATATGTGGAGTCACTACAGTGTGTCCTGCACACATTCAATGCTTCCTCCTAATTACTTCCTCTCCTAAACCATGGTTTTTTCGTTCCTACAGTAGTCTATTGTTAATAGTGTCTGGTCAACAGATCCTAAGTGCCCTCCGTAGACAACCGTTAATAAATACTTTGAATTTGCGAGGGACAGCTTCAGCTGTGTTCCAAGTTTCCGCTCCATACATTAGTGCGGTCTGTCACACATATTATTTGTGGTAACGACTATCCTCTTACATGCATCAAAGAGTCAAGTTGACTCCTGAACTTCACCCCGTCAACGCTATCACGTACCTTCTTGTAGTTAAAGAAGGTGATATTTATTGATAAGTACCATTTTTCTACAATGATCCACAGTATCGTGATTTGGTCTGTACACGTTCGACCTCTAAGACGTTCAGCCTGCTGATTTCATTGTTTGTCACCCACTGAATCGCTCACTTGGTTTAGCTGAATTTTGCTACAAACTTTTACTTGTATTCGTAATAATATGATCCCTTGGCAGTTCTTGTACTTGCTTATATCTACTTTCGTTAGTATTTTGATGGAGTAAATTTTTTTCCAGTCTACTGATACTTCTTCTCCCTCTCAGATCTTTCTGAAGAGAGCGTAAAGTATATTTGCAGTTACTGCCACGTCCCTTTTCAGTGTATGTGCTGGTATTTTGTTTAGGTTTTCTACTTTGACTGATAGCCTTGCCAATTTCTTCGATTGATAATGGGTCAACATCAGTTAGGAGATTTTTAGGTGCTGCCTCGATGTTGGATTAGTGGAATGAAGCTGGCCTATTCAAGGGTTCCTTAAAGGGCTCTACCGATCTGTCTCACTGTTCTTCAGCGGTACTGATTACTTTAACCTTCTTGCATTTTCACTTATCTTTATGTTTTAAGATAGTTTCCAGCGAGCTTCCTTTTCGCATCGAATAGTTGTCTCGTGTTTCCTTCTTTTGTAGCCCGTTCCACCGTCATCGCTAGATTTTTCACATATTAAAGTTTATCGGCTCCGATGCCCCTCATCACTTGCTCGTTTGCTTCTGTGTATTCGGCCTGTGCCTTGGCTTTCTCTGCTCTTTTTCGGATGATATTGATTGGTGAATTATTTTTTTTACTATCTTGAATCTTATCCAGTGTGTCAGCAGTGATCCATTCCTTGTGATGGTGCTTCCTGTGGCCCATAACAACATGATATGTTGAATTAATCGCCTTCTTGATCCCTTTCCAGTCGTTAGGCATGGTAGTTTACACTCGAACGAGTAATTCGTGAAAAGGGTGGTAACTATTGATGAAAGCTATTTTGAACTCTTTGAGTTTGTAAGAACCCGTAAGAGATAAAGTGATGATACTGTGATACTGTTTGCCCCTTTGCAAACTGCTCTTTTAGTTTCAGTCTCATCTTGATCACCACCAGGCGGTTATGTCGGCCTTTCTATTTGCTCTGATGTCTGTCACGCTTTTATTGAACATTTTATTGATAAAAATGTGATTGATTTGATTTTGCCTATTTTGATCCGGTGAAATTTGTGTAGCTTTATGTATGCTTTCATGTTGGAATATGATGCCGCCTGTGACCAGTTTGTTGAAGACATACGCATTCACAAATCTCTCACCATTTTCGTTCCTTTCTCCCGGTCAATATCGTCTTGTTATGTTGTAGTGAGATTGGTGACAGCCTGTCGCGAGATTATCAAGTAAAATCCTATAAAATCCAGAAATCATAGGGAAGAGTGTGACTGAATGACAAAGTGTATTGATTCGTGGTCTCGTGATGTCGAAAAGATATCAAGACCGGTATAAAGCAGCAGCCGAGAGACACCGATAATAAACGAGCTCTGAGGGCACATAGAAAGTTCGAACATTGTGGGAGACTGGAAGACTATTTCAAGTTGCGGCAGAAATGAAAAGATACAACATCGAGGTGCTCGGCATCAGTGAAACACAATGGACACAGGTAGGACAACTGAGACTAGCTTCAGGGGAACTGCTGTTACACTCTGGTCATGAAGAGGAAAATGCTTCACATACACAAGGAGTTGCACTGATGCTGTCCAAACATGCACAAAAGGCACTGATAGGATGGGAATCTCATGGACCCAGGATCATTAAAGCATCCTTCAAAACAAAGAAAGAGGACATTACAATGAACGTCATCCAATGTTATGCACCTACCAATGACTACAATGACAACGTTAAAGATCAATTCTACGAAAGGCTGCAGTCAATCGTCAAGAAATGTTCACCAAAGGATTTGACGATTTTTATGGGAGACGTGAATGCTAAGGTTGGCACGGACAACACTGGATATGAAGACATCATGGGACGACATGGACTGGGAGAAAGGAACAAAATTGGTGAGAGATTCGCAAACCTATGTGCCTTCAACAAACTGGTCATCGGTCGCACAATATTCCCACACAAACGCATTCACAAAGCTACATGGATTTCACCGGACCACACAACTCACAACCGAATTGACCATATCTGTATCAACAAAACGTTCAGAAGGACCATGGAGGATGTGAGAACCAAGAGAGGAGCTGATATAGCCTCAGATCACCATTTGCTGATCGCCAAAATGAAACTCAAACTAAAGAAGCACATGACAACGGGGCAGACAACATCACACAAGTTTAATACGGCCTTTATTCGCGATACCGTAAATTCAAGATAGCCCTCACCAATAGGTTCCAGGCCTTTCAGGATCTACACAATAGAGAGGACACAACATTGGAGAACAATTGGAAAGAGATTAGTGAGGCAATCACTTCAACATGTCACAAAGTTCTGGGTCACAAGAAGTACCATCACAAGGAACGGATCTCTTTTGGTACTCTTGAAAAAATTGAAGAAAGGAGGACTAAGAGGGCAGAATCAATGTTAGCCGAACAAGGGCAGAGAAAGTTACCACACAAGCTGCATACACAGAAGCAAACAGGGAAGTGAAGAAGAGCATCAGAGCTGACAAACGAAAATATGTGGAAGATGTAGCAATGACGGCGGAAAAGGCTGCAAGAGAGGGAAACTTGAGACAATTGTACGAAACAACAAAGAAGCTCGCCGGAAACTATCGTAAACCAGAACGACTAGTGCAAAGCAAGGAAGGGAAAATAATCAGCAACACTGAAGAACAGCGAAACAGGTGGTTAGAGCACTTTAAGGAACTCCTGAATCGACCAGCTCCACTGAACCCACCCAACATCGAAGCAGCATCCACGGACCTCACAATTAATATTGGCGCACCTACGATTGAGGAGATCAGTATGGCCATCAGACAAATCAAGAGCGTCAAAGCAGCAGGACCAGACAACATTCCAGCAGAGGCAATGAAAGCAGATGTAGAAGCAACTGCGAAAATATTTCACATCCTCTTCAACAAGATTTGGGATGAGGAACAAGTACCATCAGATTGGAAAGAAGGATACCTGATCAAAATACCAAAGAAAGGCGACCTGAGCAAGTGTGAGAACTACAGAGGCATCACTCTTCTTTCAATACCAGGCAAAGTCTTCACCAGGGTACTGTTACACAGAATGAAGGACTTTGCAGACGCCCAACTTCGAGATCACTAGGCTGGATTTCGTAAGGATCGATCGTGTACTGACCAAATTGCTACATTACGAATCATTTTGAAGCAATCAATTGGGTGGCACTCACCACTCTACATCAACTTCATCGACTACGAGAAAGCATTCGATAGCGTGGATAGGAAAACACTGTGGAGGCTTCTTCGACACTACGGAACTCTTATGATGGGTTCAACTGCAAAATCGTGCACGGAGGACAGCTAACCAACTCTTTCGAGGTGAAGACCGGTGTCAGGCAGTGTTGTTTACTCTCACACTTTCTCTTTCTCCTGGACATCAATCGACTGGATTATGAAAACGTCAACTTCTGGAGGGAAGCATGGTATTCAGTGGACAGATAGGACGCAGATGGACGATCTGGACTTCGCAGATGACCTGGCTCTTCTATCGCACACTCAAAAACAAATGCAAGAGAAGACGACCAGTGTAGCAGCAGCCTCTGCAGCAGTAGGTCTCAACATACATAGAGGAAAAAACGAAATTCTCCGATGCAACACAACATGCACCAACCAAATCACTCTTGATGGAGATTCTTTGGAGGACGTTAACACCTTTACATATCTGGGCAGCATCATCGACGAGAAAGGTGGATCCGATGCAGATGTGAGGGCACGGATTGGCAAAGCGAGGGCTTCATTTCTACAGTTGAAAAATATCTGGAACTCCAAACAACTTTCAACCAACACCAAAATCAGAATTTTCAATACAAATGTGAAGACAGTTCTACTGTATGGAGCGGAAACATGGAGAACTACGAAAGCCATCATCCAGAAGATACAAGTGTTTATTAACAGTTGTCTACGCAAAATACTTCGGATTCGTTGGCCAGACACGATCAGCAACAACGTACTGTGGGAGAGAACAAACCAGATTCCAGTGGAGGAGGAAATCAGGAAGAAGCGGTGGAAGTGGATAGGACACACATTGCGAAAACACCTAACTGCGTCACGATTCACGCCCTCACATGGAACCCTGAAGGCAAAAGGAAAAGAGGAAGGCCAAGGAACACATCACGTCAAGAAATAGAGGAAGATATGAGAGGAATGAACAAACATTGGACAGAACTGGAGAGGGAAGCCCAGGACAGAGTTGGTTTGAGAAGACTGGTGGACGGCCAATGCTCCATTGGGGGTAACAGGCGTAAGTAAGTAAAGTAAGATCGTGCTACTGATTTAAAGCATATTTGAAGAAGCCAAAAAATACCGAATAAACGTAATTAGAGTAATGAATTTAACAGCCTTCATTTATGAGGCTTTACATTGATAAATTTGTCAAATCTAATGAATCCAAAATGACCCGGAGATTTGGATGTACGGACTCGAAGCATAGATGTATTTCTTCTTTAATATTTATAATAATTTGAATTTCTTTATGTTGTTTTCATAAAGTACATTGATTGAACAAAAGCTCAGAATGAATATCTATTCATTCAAAATATTGAAAAATCAATTTCGTTATAAATTAATTATAAAACCTATAATAAGAATTTACATCAATCATACGAACTAAAATTTGCAATCAGAAACTATTGAATACGGAAACCTATATCATTAATAGTGCATAAAATATCATTTGTCTACCAGTTAAGTAATTGTTCTAGTCACTACTTAAGTTAAATCCAGACTATGATGCCAGTGAAAACAATGCAATAATAGCGTTCATATTTCTGGAATGCGTACTGGTCCAAGGTGAATTCACAAAAATAACCAATCAGGTTTACTATAGAAAGGTGAGTTGGTATACTAATACAGAATTACCAAATACGAGGTTTATTTCTCAAGGTTAAACACGCCTACGCATGTGCTTACTTTCAAACATACACGAGAGCTTAGGATAATTAGTTGCTCAAGGTTAAGAAATAGGGTTCACTAATATGATGTGATGATTCCCATAGTTGTAAGACAAACAACTGTGTCTATGAGAAGGTGGTCAGACAGGCAGTAAATGTTAATGTATAATTTAAACTTACTATTCTCAGACTCATACATATAAATGTACATGTATGATACACACATATTATTATAGATAGCATATGAAGGTGTGATCATATGCAACCATATTGATTTCACCGAGACATAGATCAATAGCGAAAGGACGGATATGACTGATTAAATGTGATCGTGATGTTTATGCCAATTACCTTGAATATATATTATTAATACGGATAAGTTACAGTTACGGGGAAATAATTTTTACACCTAAAAACATACAAATCAAGTTATAATGAGCAGAAAATTACTTACACAGTAGATCACACTAGAACGGTACATAAATCTAATTGGTAAGTTCAAACTACATTGTTTAATTTTCATTAGCTTTGTTTTAAAATAACTTTTGACAATAATAACTTAATTACCCTGGAGTGAAAAGTGATTGAGTTTCTACATTATTAATTTAGAATGTTATATTAAATCTTAGAAAATGAGTGAAATCGGCTTTTTTCGAAAGACAGTCTTATTTGAATAAAATGTCTTTAAGGTTAATTTCGAAAATTTACTCAGGCATATACGGAGTTCCGTATGATGTAAAGTAACACAAAAATCAGTTAACCTGAATTATTCTGAGAATGTCCTAAAGGATTTTACCCGTTTTATCTAATCAATAGACAGGTGACATGAAAGAATCAATTATTATGTGTAGTCAAAGAATTTTTCATAGGAAATCTTGTTCTTATGCGATTAGTGAATTTTCTCATGTTCCTTATTGGGTTCCTAATCACCCTAGTTTAGCATCAAAATCAGGATTCAGTATTGGTTCATGTTTACCATAACTCTAACCTTAATCTAATACAATATTGATGCTTGAAATCAAGTTTTACGATTTAACTTAATGTACCTTAATACTATCTATAAACCTCTACTCTAACTTTAGACTCTATATTCTAATCATGAATTCTAAGGTCTAATCATAACCTCAAGAATCTAAAAAAAGGTTTTGCTCATTAAGTTCATAATAATAAGAATAGTAATGATTACAATGTTTAACATCGTTTTGTGATTAAAATTAATTAATTAATTAATCTACATACTTCTCATAACATCAAAATAGGTTTCTTGTTCTTGATTATTTCATGAGTATCTTATACGTTTATCACATCATCACTGAAGATATATATATATATATATATATCCATATATAATGCGAAAAATAAACTCTAAACATCAAGTTATTTTGTTGTATAAAGATTTGAAGATTCGACATTTCAAACCTGAAAAATTTGTTCGTTTTCTGAGCTCAGAGAACGAAACTCTACCACATTCATCCACCTAAGCTACAAATTATCTCCACCATCCGTGAGAATTCTAAAAGTGTTCATTGTTGAACAGGACAGTTCACATTTTGATATCTGGTAACGAATTTACAAATTTCTATACTTTTTTTGGTTTCCAACTTTGATTATGATGATAATGAACGGGTCACTGAACAACAGAGATTGAATAAATTATGATTATTCAGTTGGTCAGTTGAAAAACAAGACATTAAATGTTATTTATATAGTGTAATATAACGTTATGTAGTATTGATTTCTGCTCGCGTTTCAGTGATATGATAGTTTGTTCTGATTGTTTTTTTTTCTACTAATATAAGGTGGTTTTTAAATATTGACATCAGTCACGGTCTTATTAGAAAATAGTGAGCACTGAACAATTGTTTAATCCTAGTATTGAACTTCTCAGAATATAGCGCAGACGTTTACGTCAATGATTGAATCCAAAGCCTTGACGGTTCGCAATTAGTGCTTAATCACTGAGTTGTCGTCTGATAGCATACTTTTTTTTTTACTTCATTCAATTTGTGAAACATTAAGACAGCTATCGATGATGATTATTGAAAGCTCAACATCAATAAATTATACTACGCATGATTTCTCACTAGAAATAGGAATTTTATATTATGATATAACATCAATTCAATGGTATTTGGTTTTTGAAAAGTAATTCTATTGATATCAATCTATCACGAATATTATCTACACACTAAAAGCTGGTTTTCATCCAAACACTAAATACCACATCGTGTTTTGAATGCTTGACTGTTTGTAGATTTCGTTTTTTGAGAGAACAACTACATCAGCTTAAAAAATCGATTTGTTTTTTTCAAACTTTTATATACAAACAAAATTAACTGAATGATATCGCAATTCAACAGACAAGAAAAAAATTGAACTACATTTGTAATACATGATGCAAATGTACTAATTCGTTGCCGTAACCATGAAGTATAGAGTCAATCTTAAAGAATATCTTGATGTTAGTTACAATAGAATTCAAAAGATATATGCATCGGATGTGTTTTATAAAGTGAAGAAATTTCAGATGCCATTTATATGTAAAAAAATCAATAATTTAAAATGTTAGGTAACATGATTTGAAATTGATTGGATTAGAACAAATATAGTCCATGTTTCACTATCGTACAAAGTTTTAAGTTCTCTTAGTCATCAATTGGATTTCCTGCTTTCTGTTTGCATTTTCTGTTGAATTATTTCGTAATTTCGCTTATTTATCCCCTCCCAAGACCTGGTTTACTAACTATCAATTATTATATTAGTGAAAAAACTGATACTTACTACTGGAAACTGTGAGGTTTACACAACGCAAATAAGAAAACAAAGCTGATGGCATAAGTTGATTTTATTCAATTTCTAAAACACACATTGATCACTGTTTTCACATTTACTTGTTTATCTATATATCGATCTGTTTAACTGACTGACATTCGATCATCAGCTAAACAGTATTAAATTTAACTGATATAGGGAAAATACCACAATTTATTTTACACCAAAAGCCATTCATCATGTTACGAATGTTATACTAAGAAGAATATCTTACTGAATCAAAATTAAAAAAAATGATTGTCATGGTAAATTGAATTAAAACATGATTTCGTATTGTGTAATGCCTGTTCCAACAGTTTTATTTCTTATTAATATTAAAAATTTTAGTTACTTGTGTCTTGATAACTTTATGCTTAGTTTTTCTATATTGTTCACAATCAACTTAATAATTGATTAACAAAGTTATAATTTACAGTGAAAATGTTTGTTTAAATATAAGTATCTAAGCTATCATTTGTTAAAATCAGTGATAACAGGAAGACATGAGTTTTTTCTATTGATCTTTCTATGAATCAATAAATAATTTTTTTCACTTGGTTTTGACTAGTTTTTTTTCTTTTAATTTAAAAAAGAATCTCATTTTGTTCATCCTAATTATTTTCGATATTCTTATTAAGTATACATCAAAATCATATGGTGTTTTTTTTAAAAAGATATTGATAATTGAATAAAAGAAAGTTTCACTTTCATTGTAGTCTAGTTTTTTTAAGTTATGCAAACAATTACCGATATCATGATTATTATTATAGTGTGATGATACACACTTGTATGACAGCTGTCTATTAAATAGTGAATATGAATATCATATTATAAGCATGTAATAAGTCATATATCATATGATGAAGTTTAAATGTTCAATTTAAACCCTGATTATTTTCAACATGATAAATATTGTGATATTTTTATAATCATGAAAATAAGTGATTATCAAATGAATTTTTGAGAATTATTAACTAAAAATATTAAAATATACCTATTGAGTTTTGACATTTAAAGTGAATCTATTTATTTCTCAGGATATTTTTAGAGTAAAATGTGATTTAGAAGAATGATTTCATATGTCAGACGAGTAACTTTTATTGTAAGATAGAGAGTTGAGGAGATTATAGAGTTTTGTAGCTTACATATGAAACTATCCTTCCTGATCATTAGTAACTTCATAATTAGGGTCAGCCAGTGATCCCAGTTACGAGACTGAACAACATATATAATCCTACTTTAAACAAATATCAATCATGAACTCACTAATGCTGCACTAGGTAACAGTAGATAGCTGTCAAGAATAATTAATCAAACGGGTATTGAGAATCCGGTTGTTAGTGAGACTAATTCGGAAAAAGAAGGAACCATTATTGACTTTCAATCTAGTAGAATAAATCGACGAAGAAAATACATTAAACACTGGTCCGACTGGCCTACAGTCACACTTCAGTTACTCACCATCTCCAAATGACTTTAATGGTAAATTACCATAAGTCCATCAGCTCTTAGTCAGGTTGAAAAGGTTGCATGTAATCTAAAGCGAGAACATTAGGGTCTGATAGATCGACCCATTAAAGTTTTAAGGACTCAGTAATCAGCAGTTACAATAACTGTAGTCATATCTAGAGTCTAGGAATTAGACGTGATCCCATCCGACTGGTTTTCAATGCGGACCATTAAAGTCTCTAAGAAAAGAAAAAATCATCCTGTGACAGTCGCAGTGGGATCGACTTGAAGAATATGGTGTCTAGAAAAGCCCATGAAAAATGTGCAGACTACCTGGATGAGGTCCATATGATAGTCCTAACCAGTGCTGAGAGACCTTGAATGACATGACCCAAAATCGTTTGCACTAGTAAAGCTGCATCCATTTTTTATCCTGCCCAAGTTTCTAAGTTTCTGAGTTGCTTAGAAATTTTCGTTCTTCTTAATGGTATATTGCAACTTAGACTGATATACATACGTATCAAGTTCTATTGACTTATTCCCCTAAGTATTTATTGGATTTCTAGTAAGTAGCCAGGATCATCGCCGTTCAGGCATATCAGTGGTGAGACGTTGGTTAATGATTATACATAACACTGAATCGATAAAAGTTAGAAATGTCAGCTACTGAATGCTGATTTGATGCTCTAGAGGTTTTCAATATCACTCTAAGTGATATCACTCAGTAGTAAATATCACATTTATATTTTTAATTTAATTTTTCCATAAGAAAACAATTTTCAGTGTGTAAGTTAACCATGTATTTACGCCTATATACATAATTGTGGCCTCCTTGTTTACTTATATGATTTACTTAAAATGCCTGATATAAGTTTTTTAAAATGAATAATTGTGAATGAGAATAGTACACGCTCATGCGTTATCTATTGTATAATGTTTATAAATTATCACAGCTCAAACAAGGACATTTCTATCACTGGCATATTTTCCTTCATATTTCCCTTCTTTGACGAAGTAATGACCAATATACCTGCATTCAATTATCTTATATAATAATGAATAGAAAGGTTTTTGTAGTAATTAACGTGCTAGAAAACATTTTAACAATTAAATACTGATAGACAATACTGACAATTAATGACATTTTAAAAAAAATCTATTTCGAATAGTTACAATCTGAATGTGTGTAAGAGAGGTAGTTGTGTAGTGAAGGAGAACACAGGTGAGGGCAA